CCTGTCGGTATTTTATACCATTTTAATGTTCAATCTCTCAGACACTGCAACACAAGGGTATCTTGGTACAGACCTGCAATCAACTTCGACAACCTCTACTAGTGAGAACGGCTGGATTTGAGAGGGACCTGACCTCCCAACATCTGCGTTCTTACTTCTACTAGTGACCTACGTCTCACCTCCTGGCGCTATATAAAGCTCCATCCTGTCACTTCAACTCCATATTGTTTCATACTATGGAACAATGCTCTTCTCCAGACTGAGGGACTGACCACCTCAAAACTTTAAGGGTGATGGACTGATTACATCGTCTTCAAGTCTCTTCTGCTTCTATCAACTTTTCTGTACTCGACTGAAGAAGCCTACTGCGTAGGCGAAACGTTTCGAAATAAAGATACCTAACTGTTGCATATGTGTCTTACCTAACAACCTGTCGGTATTTTATACCAATTTAATATTCAATGGCTTATTTTGGCGAGATCTTCCTTCTAATTCACTGCTGGCGTCTACACAAGCGATTGTTAGGCGCTCTGAAAGGTACTTTTAATTACTAGGTATAATAATGCGGGTGACACGGAAGGTGGTAGTGGTGGGTGACACGGAGGGTGGTAGTGGTGGGTGACACGGAGGGTGGTAGTGGTGGTTGACACGGAGGGTGGTAGTGGTGGGTGAAACGGAGGGTGGTAGTGGTGGGTGACACGGAGGGTGGTAGTGGTGGGTGACACGGAGGGTGGTAGTGGTGGGTGAAACGGAGGGTGGTAGTGGTGGTGACACGGAGGGTGGTAGTGGTGGGTGACACGGAGGGTGGTAGTGGTGGGTGACACGGAGGGTGGTAATGGTGGGTGACACGGAGGGTGGTAGTGGTGGTGACACGGAGGGTGGTAGTGGTGGTGACACGGAGGGTGGTAGTGGTGGGTGACACGGAGGGTGGTAGTGGTGGGTGACACGGAGGGTGGTAGTGGTGGGAGACACGGAGGGTGGTAGTGGTGGGTGACACGGAGGGTGGTAGTGGTGGGTGACACGGAGGGTGGTAGTGGTGGTGACACGGAGGGTGGTAGTGGTGGGTGACACGGAGGGTGGTAGTGGTGGGTGACACGGAGGGTGGTAGTGGTGGTGACACGGAGGGTGGTAGTGGTGGGTGACACGGAGGGTGGTAGTGGTGGGTGACACGGAGGGTGGTAGTGGTGGGTGACACGGAGGGTGGTAGTGGTGGATGACACGGAGGGTGGTAGTGGTGGGTGACACGGAGGGTGGTAGTGGTGGGTGACACGGACGGTGGTAGTGGTGGGTGACACGGAGGGTGGTAGTGGTGGGTGACACGGAGGGTGGTAGTGGTGGGTGACACGGAGGGTGGTAGTGGTAGGTAACACGGACGGTGGGAGTTGCGGGTGGCACGGACGGTGGGAGCTACGAGTGACACGGACGGTGGGAGCTACGGGTGACACGGACGGTGGTAGTGGTGGGTGACACGGACGGTGGGAGTTGCGGGTGACACGGACGGTGGGATCTACGGGTGACACGGACAGTGGGAGAGTTGCGGGTGACACGGACAGTGGTAGTGGCGGGTGACACGGACGGTGGGAGCTATGGGTGACACGGACAGTGGGAGAGTTGCGGGTAACACGGACGGTGGGAGCTACGGGTGACACGGACGGTGGGAGCAACGGGTAACACGGACGGTGGGAGCAACGGGTGACACGAACGGTAGGGAGCTACGGGTGACACGGACGGTGGGAGCTACTGGTGCACGAACAGCGGTACTCATCTTCAACACATAATCACGTACACTTTGCCACTAAACATTGCTAAATACAAACCGAATTTATCGTCTACATTCAAATGGAAATTGTCCAAGAGCCCGGGAGCTAGACAAATGATGACCCTTTGGAGACCTACATAGGTAAAAAATAAGACAGGAGCATAGATAAACGGAGGAGAAAGGGCACGGGTGATAAAATGTTTGACAAAGAAGAGGGAGAATTGCAATAGTTTCTATAGGCCACGTTCTGGATGATGAAGGGAAGGGGGGGGGGGAATTATCCACCTAGGTAGGGGCAAAATTATTTACTTATGGAGGGGGGTGTTGAGGGGAAGCACAAGTACAGCCGCGAACCTCTGCCAGGGGGCACCTGGCTGGCCTAGGAACGCACCTGCCAGCTCATACTCACCACGCATCCTATCGATATGTGTCTGACAAATTATGTTACTGGAGCATTTCTACTTTCTAAGTTATGTCGTCAAAATGTTTCCGCCCCTCGAAAATAATGCTGTGAACGTTACGCACGACTACGGCGCGTATTTTAGAGATCTGAAGACCCGTGTTTTGTCACCGAGAACAGTGAGGTGGATAGAGCCCTCTGTTTATCTTACGTGTCAGGGCCACCTCATGGTGTCCCTCTGTTTATCTTACGTGTCAGGGCCACCTCATGGTGTCCCTCTGTTTATCTTGTGTGTCAGGGCCACCTCATGGTGTCCCTCTGTTTATCTTGTGTGTCAGGGCCACTTCATGGTGTCCCTCTGTTTATTTTGTGTGTGAGGGCCACTTCATGGTGTCCCTCTGTTTATCTTGTGTGTGAGGGCCACTTCATGGTGTCCCTCTGTTTATCTTACGTGTCAGGGCCACCTCATGGTGTCCCTCTGTTTATCTTACGTGTCAGGGCCACCTCATGGTGTCCCTCTGTTTATCCTATGTGGCAGACCCACCTCATGGTGTAAGTCGCTAAAGCAACATATTCCCCTGTGTTTATCTCACTTATGTATCCCACCCACCTCATGGTGTAAGTCGCTAAAGCAACATATTCCCCTGTGTTTATCTCACTTATGTATCCCACCCACCTCATGGTGTAAGTCGCTAAAGCAACATATTCCCCTTACCAGAGTCCCTCGGTACGCACAAAATACGAGGTATATCTTCTGTGGCATCAAAGAAAATAAGCAGCTGAACACAACGATTAAGATTTTAACAAAACTGGCAGAGTGACGTGCATGAGGGTGCAGTTGTCGACCTTATGTTTGGTGACCGGAGTGTCGGAGAGTGCCGTGACGTGAAGCATATCCCAGTATCATCCCAGGTATAAACGTACTGGGGTGATACATCCATATTTAACGTTATCATGAATTTTCACATAAGCACCTGACCACCTTCATGCTGGAGGTCTTACAAGTAACATTACTACCATACAGTTACAGGAAACAAGTCCAGGAGTAACAACGGTTTAATAAGGACCTGCCTAGCGTGGACCAGGTTTGCGTTAATTCTTCAGTTCTTATATTCTTAATTCGACTAGGTGCTTAAGATATTTACGTACTATTGGTATAGTTTTATAATGAAGCAGGTGGACCTCTGAGGAGTTATACTCTTATGAATATCACAGAGGACAAGAAGAATGATGAGTACACGCTGCATGAGGCTACTTACTATGCCAATAAAGAGTTAATGGAAGTGTGTCTGGACGTAACCCAACACCAGTCAACCTCCAGCAGGGTCCCCGCACCTATCACAATTTCAGGTGTCCTAACTTACTGCCCGTCACCCATCAATAGCTCTGAATACACACAGAATTGGCCTACACTGGAGGCCAGGCAGCCCCAGCTGCCGAGGGGCAAAACATTGTGGGCTCCCAGGCACATCTCATCCTTTACGTCTCGCACCTGAACTCACGCGTGAAGACGCTGCAGTACAACGGGTAGTACACCCATGGTAATGCTAGTTATCGTGCAATCAACTACACTCGCTAAGTGCATTTATCCTATATAAAATACACACGCTGCCAAAGTTCTATAGTACCCCGGCTAGTTTTGATAGGTAGCATTCACCTCCATCTGTTGGCTACACGCACGCTGATTGGCTACTGCCGGGTGTCAGCTGGAAGCTTCCTGCGCGCTGATTGGTCCGTGGGACGCACCAGGAGGTGGGTGCCTACATGTAGTATATATTTATACCCAAAATAAACAAAGCAATACTTATTGCATTGTTCTTAAGTTTTGCGTTGTAAATGACTACATTAACCTTTCACACCCCATTTTTACACAATGACTCCATACTTCATCACTACTTACAAAACCAGGGACAAGGAGAAGTGACACAATACCAACTCAGCTCTCATTGGCTGATCGATCGGAAGGGTCCAGACAATTCGTTCAGGGCGACGGCGTTGCACAGCAACATGACCGTGTTTATGCAACAATAAATCATTTAATGCAATATAAAATTGTTGTCATTGGACAAAATTTAAATAGTTATGGAAGCTGCAGCTAGGCTCGGGATGGTAATAAGGGCAAGTCAGTGGGAGAGCAGCGGCGGCGGCCACAACCAATAAAGAAAAAGTCTACTCAAAGTGGTCACCCCGCACCCCGTCCTCAGATGAAAGGATCCACGTGCGCTAGAGGGCATTTTTTAGTTATAATGAGCATTGCCTAATAATATATCAAGGGACAATAAGCCAGAGCCGTGACAAAACACGCAGATAAGCTCAAAATCCCAGCAGCTGCCCCGGGGACTTTGTTTATCACTGATCCCGCTTACTGTGAACACTAAACAGTGGCGCCCAAGAACACGATAAGAGTTATTATCCTTTCGTGATAACAGATTAACAAGCAGAGGATCGTAGCTAAACGTTGTTTCCCAGCCAGGGGAAATAACTTCACATGCTAATGTAGTCAGTTAAGTGACATTGTATTAGATTATCAAGGCACTTGACGCTAATGAGCGGGAGCTCAAACACTTAGTTCAAAAGTAGTATTAAAGAAAGGAAATGTTAAACGGATGATAACTACGGTATAATGAAAAATGGGAAAATAGTAGAATGCATACGTACTAAGTGTAAGTAAAGTTTCCTTAAATGGTCACGAGAAAAAAGAAGATACCAGTAATTCTGCCGGTACAAATCACTTAATAGGCTCCTTATGCTTTACTCATACGCTAAGACTGTAACATCTCCCTGGATGCTGCTCTCTAGAGAGAAATATACTATATAATGGAGAGGAAAGTGTGAACTTACCAGTAGCAGCCAGAGCAATGAAGGTAGTTGCGTGCTTTCTGACGATGGGTTCCCGTCCCACACCAGGAACCAGAGGAAGGAGGTGGTCGACGAAGTCACAAGCTGTGATGGGTGCCAGGTCCCACCCCAGCTTGGACACCAGCAGCAATTCCCAACTCTGTGAAGAACAACACAAAAAACTTAAATATCACTAATGTCTAGATAAAGTCATTCAAGTTCAAACAGGCTCAACTGGAGCAGTAAAATAAATTAGTTATTTTCTCGGGTTTCGATAAAGCAGATGGAAGACATTTTTCCTTTAGCTACATCCGCTTATCTCAAATTATCCATCAAAACGTCATTGTCTCGTAAGGTAAACATGATGACAGCTCAGGCGGTACTATAACATTTAGGCCTCTCGCCAATACTTGCTCAAATCCCCACAATGTAGGTGGGGAAAAAAGGCAATGACTACAGTCCTCCCCGTCAGCTGGTGGGCCACTAGGCCTAAGTAGGACAGTCCTATGGAAGGACCCACTCTTCTTGCTCCGTGGGCCACCTCCGCAGCGCGCCCTCTACTACAATCACACCATAAAGAGGTTATCATTATGTGCTGTACAGGTACCAATTTTGACGTTTAGGAAAATGAAAGCGACCAAAGGGAAGGCTTAAAGACATAAAGGTTTAGAGGCGACGAAGATAGTGGGGGTTAAAGAAAAAGAGAATCTTTCTCGTCTCTGAAAATAATCGAAGGTTGGGGTAGGTATATCGAGGGAAACAATTTCTGATGTTTACAATGGAGCAGCCGACTACTGGACCCACCATCACGTTGATGGCTTAAGTTAAGTTTTTCATTTGTTTACAACTTCCAGCAGCGGCTGCAGTAGATAACCAGAGTGGTAAAATTTATCATTATAGCCTTTTGACGAGCAAGGGACAACTAGAGTAGAAAACGCTTTTCCAGTGACTCGTTTATGCCAGGCAGATGCTGCCAGTGTCCTGAAAACCAACACAGCGAGTCATACAGTGGGGAGACAGCGATAATTACAGCAGGGACAGCGGGTCCCCAACCCTCGTCATCAGCTGCTTGCCGCCGCCCTTCCTTATACCCTCCCACCTGTAATCTCAGCTGTAAAGATATTTTATATTTTACACACATATATAAGTGATGGAAACTGCCTACAAACAAATGGTCGGTAAGAACCAGCTGGCAGCGGATTCTGTGCTGGGACAGCTGCCTGTCTGCCAGCCTGGCTATAAGGTCAGCCCAGCCTATCTCTACACGGGTCATCTCATGTCACGTGAGTCAGGCCGAAAAGGATTTCGCTACATCGATGTTTCAAGTGTCGAACAATCACGAACTCGTTTTTATCTTGAAGCTTTGACGAAAAACTGACAGAGGGACGAATCCTAACATCTTTTACAGAAGATACTATTTACAGGCATTATTAATGTATGAAACATATAGAAGCGACATTATATATATATTTATATATATATATATATATACTAGTATATAATATAAATATTAATATATATAATGTTATATATATATGATGATATTTTAATGTATTATATATATATATGTATTATATATTATATATATATATATATTATATATTATATATATATATATATATATATATATATATTATATATATATTATATATATAATATATATATATATATTATATATATATTATATATATATATATCTATATATAAATTCTATATATATATATATATATATAAATATATATATTATATATTATATATATATATATAAATTTTAATATATATATTATATATATATATATATATATATATATATATATATATATATATATATATATATATATTATATATATATATATATATATATATATTATAATATATATATATAATAATGCTAGGCGAGTGGTTGCAGCCTAGCTGTGCCACTAGGTAACTATATACGTTACTTCTACCAATGTCATTACCCCTCAACGCTGGTACATAGTCTTACTTTCACTCCATTATTAGCTACACAGTGGCAGATGGTCCCTGTGGTGTTGTGAAGTTTATATAAAGGTGGGTCAAGCACCAGCTGGGACTACCCCCACAGAATTCTTTTGAATACAGCGGTTAAGTGGTCATAAGTTGAGTATTTGTCAGACAGGGTCGCCGGGTTCGTCCCCACAACTTTTACACGAGCTTCTCTGTTACTTGTATTGTTATTACTATATTTGTTGTTGTTGTTGTTGTATTTATTATTGTATTATAATTAGCACTGTACTTCAGTAGTAGTGTCAGTACTCCTAAGGACGGGTGGGGATATTTGCAGTCTGGAGTCATGTGAACGAGTATCGGAGAGCTTCTAGCAAGACAGTGATGGAGGGAATGATGTTGAACGTGTTTTCTTCTTTTTTCGGGTTACCCTGCCTCGGTGGGAGATGACCGGTGTTAAAATCATTATTATTGTTATTATCATTATTATTAATTGGAAAGCACAAAACTCGTATGGGCCATATAATTCTTGGGAATGGGAGGTTAGTCAGGTTTGATCCAAGGAAGATGTAGGAAGTTCCAATCCTCTAGATTAAGAGCCCTTCAGCATCAAGGCACCCCCCCCCCCATTTCCCTCTCCTTGAAGGCTATCCACTCGTTTGATTAATAAATTCTCTCATATATTACACTTAAGTTTACCATCGTTTATAACAAACATCTACTATAACAACGTTGTAAGTGACTCAAACAAACTTCAAAGAAGTGCCACTGAAGTGAGACCTTTGTAACTTGAAATATAAGTTAGACGGGTACATGAGTGGGTGCGAGTTGGACCTGCCTAGCATGGGCCAGTAGACAATAAGTTAGACATATGTACACCAGGGAGAGATATATCATAATCTACACTTGGAAAATCTTGGAAGGAATGGTCCCAAATCTGCACACAGAAATCACTCCCTACGAAAGTAAAAGACTGGGCAGGCGATGCAAAATGCCCCCAATAAAAAGTAGGGGCGCCATTGGTACACTAAGAGAAAACACCATAAGTGTCCGGGGCCCAAGACTGTTCAACAGCCTCCCATCAAGCATTAGGGGAATTGCCAATAAACCCCTGGCTGCCTTCAAGAGAGAGCTGGACAGATACCTAAAGTCAGTGCCGGATCAGCCGGGCTGTGGCTCGTACGTCGGACTGCGTGCGGCCAGCAGTAACAGCCTAGTTGATCAGGCCCTAATCCATCGGGAAGCCTGGTCATGGACCGGGCCGCGGGGGCGTTGATCCCCGGAATAACCTCCAGGTAACCATCAATACTTGTACTGATAAAGCCACTGGATGGCGAAACATCTACAGCACACCCAGATGCTGCACATGTGTCTTAATTCTTTATTCTGAGGGTACTGTGTTCCACTGGTATACAACATGGGCTAGTAGGCTTACTTCAGTGCTCAGTCTCGTGTTTTTGTGCTCTAGGCTTGTGGTGAGAAGCCTTAATGACGAGGGTGTTGACACTAAGGGTAAAAGGCTTCAGGTGACCTCGTCTTGACCTGTGTAGGTCATCACCCACACCCACTTTACACATGATCCCCGGTCGCTAATAGGGCTGTATGGGCCGCCCACCCCTAGGGTTTACCCCAGGTTTACTAAATCTGAGGTCTGAGGTCATGATCTATACACAAGAGGTTGCTTGTGTGGCGTGGGCGGGGTTGTGGGTGGGTTGGTGAAGTATGGGCGTGGCTGGCGAGGCGGGGGCAGTAAAGGGTGACCATTCCCCCATCACACTATCATTATAATAATGAACTATCAGCTGACCACTAGTAATCGACTTAAAACACAGTAGTAAAACATGTCTCAGAATTCAGGGTTAATTACATATATATATATATATATATATATATATATATATATATATATATATATATATATATATATATATATATATATATATATATATATATATATATATATATATATATATATATATATATAATATATATGTTAATTACATATATATATATATATAATATTATATATATATATAATATATATATATATATATATATATATATATATATATATATATATATATATATATATATATATATATATATATATATATATATATATATATATATATGTATAATTAATATATATATATATATATATATATATATATATATATATATATATATATATATATATATATATATATATATATATATATATATATATATATATATATAAGCGTGTAAAGCTTACTGGAAGCATGCGTATACTGCGCTGGCCAAAGACGGTGGTAGTGTACTGGTGGAGGTGGTCAGGAGTGTAGGGTGGAAGGAAGCTTGTTAGGTCGAGTGTCCACTACCAGATGTGTTGAGTGGCTCTCTAGGACCTCTCACCCTTCTTCCTGCAGTGTCCACCCAGACACTCCTCCAGGCACTAATTACCTTCTTCCTTAGCCCTCCCTCTCACCCTTTGCAACAACACAACCCTCCTTTCCTCCGTACCCTTGGCCCAACACAGGTCTCCCTTCCCATCTCTCTTTGCCACAACACAGTCCTCCCTTACCTCTCACCCTTTGCCAAAACAAATCCCAGCCGTCCCATTCCCCTTTGCTACAACACAACTCTCCCTTCCTATACCCTTTTGGCATAACACTTTCCGGTGGTGGTGGCGGCGCCCAAGGTGGGAGAGGCTGAGGCTTCACAGAGTCACCTTACACTACAAACACGCCCCTCTGTTCCACCAAACCTGAACATCTCCAGACAGGGTTATAGAAGGCAAACACTGAGGCTCCACTGGGTAACCAGGTACCATAGAATGAGGGAGATATGTTCGTGTTCAACCTTCAGGTAAAACTTTTCTCCTGAACCTCGGCCGAGGCGACGGAACTCCCCGGGCTCACTGCTACTGGACCAGGAAGGAAGTACACACACAAGTGGGCAATATGTGATTTGTTTTGTATCGAAGGAAGAACGAGGAAAGGGACGGGCGGAAGACCTGGTTCCCCCCGGCTCTGTGTTTGGTCGGAGACAATGGAGAGCACCCATGTTGGCCCTGGATACTTATGAGGTAAAGGTCCGTGGCCGGAAGGGTAAATGTTAGGAGGAGGTGGTTTGTGCAGGGGACAGCGCCACCCATTCACTGTGATAACAGCAGCTGCACTCCCTTCAAAGTGGAGGGGGGGGGGGGGGCAC